TATACACTTATACAGAATAAGGTCACCAACTTTGAAGACCTAGACAACAATATATACCTAGATTGATAAACGTAACACACCCCCTTAAGAAGTGAAGTGAAAATACAGCTATTGTGTTTTGTAAATGTTAGCGTCTTCTACATGCGACACAGTGAAAAAAGGACATTGGTGAGCCTGCACGGCTTTCAGATCATGTGACTAGCCGTTTGTTCCCGTTGTTTACTTTCTGAGTAGCTAGATTATACTGTGGAGGTTTCTTAAGGTTGATTAAGAAAATACTATTTTCGCCGCTTCCCTTAGATTGAGAGGTCATGAAGCTGATCTGTTTTATGTTATCGCTAATAAAATTAGTGATGGGGAGGGTTTATAAAAGGGGTAAAAAATGACAGAAAAAGAATTTTAGAGGGACGCTTAGAGCAAAATTGGATCTATGTTTTTCTTCCCCATGGGCAATTTAAAGGCATGCCACGATCACGATATCGATCGAAACCCAGAGCAAGCCCGACTCGCTTTGGATAAGAGGATTACTGCAACCACAACTTGGTCGATGGCCATGCCCTACCGGGGACCAGTGACGTCATTCAAAATGAACGTCGTCATAAATTTCACTGCAAATAGTGCAGATAAATTATCTTATCTTAACAGAATATGAATTAATCCTTAATTCATGCTTGAGTCCAAATAGTTAATACAATATACATTCATTTTTGATTTGGTATTATTTAATTTTGTTCGATTTTGGGACTAAGAACTGAATAAAAAGCAACTCACTGATTAAAAGGTGCCGTAGGTGCAATTGACAAAAGGGAGGGGTAGGCCGGGAAGCAATTTGTCGCGTGACATCTTCAATTGTCAGCTTTTACCATGGGAGGGGGAAGTAAAGTGACAAAACTTCATGGACCAATCAAATCGCTGCATTTGATCACGTGACACTAAGACCCCGCCCACATTAGCTCTCTATCTCTCCGCTCTCGACCAATAGGATTGAGGGATAGTTTTCTTAAAAGTCTTTTGCAGCTGGAAAAAAATTGTTTAGAAAATTCTTTCTTTCTTTCTTTCTTTCCTTTTTTTTTCACTGACTACATTATTATAACAAAAGTTAAGATCTGATCTAAAACATCTATACGACGGTGACTTTACGCACGTTTGTTTCCGTTTTTGTTTTCTGGCCTAAGTTAATATCCCGATCAGCGTGGCCTTTTTCATGCCAAACTTGCACTTTTAACGAGCTTCTATTAATATCAAGCATTTTGATGATCTGGATAAACGTATTGTTTTCGAGCATTTGAAGTAAAACTTTTTTCGATAGCTTTTGTTGAGTCTGCTTAGATTTTTATTCTTTCCACAGCCTCGAAAAAAATGCACTATAGCTGTTTTAGTTGTTTCGATAGCTGCAAAAGACTTTCCGGGAGATTTTACTGTTTATCTTACTACACTGCATTTTTTCTCATCCTAAAAGAGGCCTTCTCTGTGCACGATCTAGGCCAAATTTTCATTACTTTCACTTGTAATTGACGCTTTAAAAACCCTTATCAACTAATTTTTAAGAATTCTATTGCAGAGCCATTCCCAAAATTTATGGATAAAAATAGTTGACATTTTTCCTCAGCGCAAAGTTTCAGATGGGGCGGTTGTTGTAGTTGTCAAGAGTTGTAGTTCTCAAAATCGAAACGACAACAAAAACCACTAAAGTTGATGGTCTGGAAAACACGGGCACGAACGCGCGAGTTGAATGGTTCTTAATGGTTTTGTTCGTGACCAGAACGCGTTCCTTGAGATCGATAGAATAAGCAATAGACAGTATCTTATGAAGGAGTCCATTTGCGCTGGGATCTAACAAAATAATTAGATCATGTAATTAAACAAGGCGGCTTAATTTGACTTGTTTAAATTATCACATATACAATCTACGATTAACAGAGCAGAGGCTACTTACCTAGTTTTCCCCCGTAAGATTAATTCGAGAAAAAGTTTCTCATGTTGACCAACCAATACGAACCAGGAAAAAATGAGTTTGCCTTAGCAACAGGAACGCATGATACACAAACAGGTTGGTAATAGAATCCTTGAATTTTTTAATTAAGTGTGTAAACTCACTTAGTTCAGTATGTCATGAAAGCTAAACAAAAGTGAAATTGTCGATCTAATTAGTTTTTTTCGCTCAAAATTTATTTGAAGATTTTATTTAATATTAGAATATATCAGACTTGTCAGATAGGAATAGCAAGCAATATGCCCGGCAATATGTGGATCCAGTACGTTCATTGACGTAATATATAGCAACTAAATGCTCCAGAACAGCCAAATGGTATTTTCTGGAGTGCTATACATTCCAAAAAGTGACATAAGTTTGGTCTTCGCCGTACAAAAATTTACCATTTCATCTAAAAATAGACCGTGACACACATATAAAACTTGTCGATCGTTTAGAAGCACCTGTGCGTATAATTAAAAGCTAGACGTGGGGATACGAATTTACTCCGGCTGGGGGAGTAAGTGTCTTCATGCGTCCTGCTAAGTTATCCTTGGGAGAGTTTAAGTTTAGATCACGCGAACAATGCCCTACATCCCGGAGGTGGTGTCCTAGCTTTCAAAGATAAAGGATTCTAAAACATATCTAAAGCGGGACACGACAAGGGACAGTCAAACCTGTATAGTTAAGCGATCACCCACGGGGAATGGCTAAGTGCCGCTTAATACAGGTATCGTAAAATTTAACATTAGGGTTAGTGAGAATGGCATTCGATATTTGATTATCTTTTGTATTTTTAAATTAAAAACGCAAACAGAGGAGCTGGTTATGGTTTAGAAGTGCCTTGTGAACATAATCATTTTGAAGGTGACAATTGTTCGTGCAATTGGTTAAAAGAGAAGCTAGTGAACGGATCAATGTGATCTTCAATGTTGACACCACGGTTAAAAATAACGCTGTGGCTATATGGCCGGTAACCATGGTAACCGGTTAAGGTGTTGAAAACACTAAATGACCGATGATGATAATTTAGATTAGCTGGAATTTTTCGATTTTGTGAAATTTACTGAGAATATAGAACTGCCGGTCATTTAGTGTTTTAATACAGGTGAAAACAATAAAATCAGGACTTTGGGACCTTACAAAGGGTGACCGCGTACGCTTAATAGAGCTGAACGTCTACGAGCAGTCTCCCTTTTTTCTTGGTCCGCCGTGCAAAACGCGCGAGACACGCAAATGACCTGATCAACGTGCACAGTAACTTTTAGGGAGTTATTATAACTCTAAAAATGGAGTAAGTCCCTTTAGTCCCTTTTATGGTGTAAAACATTAAGGTACATGATCAACTCCTTTTTGGGGGTTATTTTAACTCCTCGATATCTGGGCTGATTTTTACTCCTGAAAAATAGTTCTTTAAACTCCTTTTAAAATAACTCCCCCCAAGAATTCTCTCTTACTCCCCCAAAACTCCACTGTAAGGAGTTAAATTAACCCCACTAGAGGAATTATTTTAACTCCTTGAAAATTACTGTGAGCACGACTGAAGGCGAGAGACGGAAGAGGCTGCCGCCCTCGTTTCTCGAGTCTTTCGCTGCTTCGCTGCTCGACGCTCGCGCGCAATTACACTCTCCTCACTAAATCTGAAGAAAAAGAGAGACTGGATTCTATTTTGAACATGATCAAAACAACAAGGTGTGATAAATCCTTGACCCCGTAGGCAAATAGATAAAAAAATTCCTCTAATCTTTTCTTCGATATGAATCCTCTTGGTACTTATTTCATCAATCAGTCCCACAATCCGGGCAAATTAACTTTCGTAAACGCGGCGGCTGTACACAGGCTACGTCGTCCTTTCAATTTCGACTTGTATACACATCCACCGCGTACGATCTTGCAAGGAGCCTGGCGAATTAGTTCCTTAATTGATTTTCAGAGCTAAACTGTGATTGGCTAAAAAAGGTTTACGTCACGGAAACCGTTTTGCCGTTCGGATTCGCTGACGTTATTTTTCGACGGGAGAGAAGCGACGACCGAAAACACGTCTGCGGTTTCGTTAAGATTAAGTTACCAAAACGGCTAACGATGGGAGATCTTTAATGGAGAGCCGGAGAGAGCAGGCCGTCATTCTTCGAGTTTGACACCCTGTTTAAATCTCGCCGGGGTCAAAACATTTTTCTTTGATTCCTTATTAACAGTTTGAGATTAAAATCTCAATTTTCTTTCTAGATTCGATTCGTTTCATTTCTTACTTTCAGCACGGCCGCACATATCCGATTGACGCTTCATTTCCTTCGCACGGGCGCTACGCGACTTGCACACTTGATTCACACAGTAAAACTCCACCGTCTGGCCCAGATTTACCTCAATCGGTATAGAACTGTATTTAATACGGGGTTTAGAG